GAGAACAAAGAGGATGACTTCAGGATTAGGGCAAGTATGAAAAGAATAGGGTGGGAAGAGAAAGGCTCTGCAAAGCAGCAACTTCCAGAATCTTGTAGGTCATTATAATGACCTTAGCTGGTCATCTAGCAAGACACTGGAATATGTTGTATGAAAAAGCAGCAAAACACAAGTAACTTAAAATTCCTCCCTCCTACTGATTGAGAAGGAACGGTCAAGGAGTCAGATCAAAGAGACAAAAACTGGGACATGTTAATGGCCCATGTAAGTTTTCAGGATGACTAACAGTGGGTAGTAGAAAATGTCATGAGACGTATTCTCTGCATTTTTGATGCAGGCCTAAGCCTTAGCAAAAAAATCTTCTAAAAAGATGAAAGGGGTAAAATAATAATAATAATAAAAAAATGTTCTCCAGTAAGACATCAGTGTTTTCACTGAAGAGTTAAAGGACGCCCCCACAGAAGGACAAAAGGAAGCAAAAAGTGGGGGATTCTGAGATTGTAGAAGGGAAGTGCTTTCAGGAGCTACGGAAATGTTAAGCACACATGACTCATGACATACACACACCCAGCCCATGAGTCTGGAGTTTAGGGGAAAGAGTTAGTAATGAGGATGCAAGTTTTCTAAGTTGTCAAATTGAATATCACATGTATATGCAGTTAGTTCAACACTATCAGTTTTTCATATACAAATTTGTCAATATATTCCAAAACAATGTATTTCTTTAGTTATCCCTCTGTTTATGGGCACCCCAGCTGATTTCATAACTAAAATATCATGACTAGTGATGCAGATATGGGTATGTATGCATCACTAGGGTATACTGTCTTGGGCTCCTTCAGGTACATGTATCCAGGAGTGCTGTAGCTGCATTGTACAGTAAAGATATTTTCAGTATCTTAGAGAACTTTGATACTGGTTTCAATAGTGGACTAACTAATTTACATTCTTACCAACTGTCTCTATGGCTTCTTTATTCCTATGACCTCACAATCATTTATTGTTACTTGTTTTCTTAAAGATAGTATGACATGGATGAGAAGGAGTCATAACATACTTTTATTTTAAGTTTCTATGAAAATGAGTCATAATTAATATTTTTCATATGTCTGTTAGCTGTTTGCATTTATCTTTTGAGATATGTCCGTTCCTCCCTTTTGCATATTTGTTCATAGAACTGTTTAAGACTAAGACATTTCTTTGTATTTTTCTTCATAGTTTCTTTATTCAGCCTATATTAATCCTTTAAGGTGCATAGCCAGCAGATATTTTCTACTATTCCAAAGGTATCTCTTTACATTGGTTTGTTCTGTTCTTCCAAGGCCTAAGTAATATCACTAAATAATCATCTGATTTTTAACGTAGGGATTTATATTAAATATCCCTCCAAAATCATGTGCATTGTATCCCACAGTTCTGTTATGGTGAGGTTTTTCTCATTCAATTCTAGAAGTTGTTTGCAGTTCTATCTCTTTTTTTTTTTCTTTTAGGACTCCATCACCTTTGAATTCTGTGTTGTTTAGTGCCTGTGAGATTGCATATTTTATATTGTTTCTCTTTTTTATTTTATTTTATAATTTAATTTAATTTTACATATCAGCCAAGGATTCCCTTGTTCTCCCCCTCCTGCCCCG